AAAGTTTGAAGCTGGGTTTTATATAAATATATCTCTTTTTGAAGGTTAGATATAAAGCTTGTCAGATTCGTTCATTTCTTTCACTGAAAATAAAGATATGACTTTTCTACTGCAATCTAAGGCTGCTAAGACTTACATGTTATTGCTGAGATTCTGGTCTTAGGAAAGATCATGACTTTCACATAGCAATGAGTTGCCCAGATATAAGAATATGGAGAAATTTCTTCTAAAGTAAACCTTAGTGTTGCTCATTTTGAGATGATGAAGTTAGAATACTTACAGATCAAATCTTAGGCAGCCAAATAAAGAATGGAAAGATTCAATTACAATTACTTTATATCACAAAAGCAGAAGTGCTTTGGCTGTAATACAGCTGAAATGTAGAAGGTAAGATCTTTTACAGTCAGTGAAACCTCTGTGGAGCACAACACATAAAAATTAATTTTCTATGAACTGAAATTTAGTTCTAGAAAATAATATGATTTCTGAACAGTGTGCAATGAATCATCTCAGCACTATTCAAATGCATTAATTTGGCTGCTAAGAGTTTTGACTGATCTATGTAAAATGCACCTGTTCTTAGCTATCCCCATTGCTAAAGCTGTTGCCCAGACTGTCATCATCTGATATTTCAATCATTGCCACATCATCCACTTGGGCCTTGACTGAAGCATTCTTTCTATGACTGTTAATTGAACATGCTCAGATAATTTTCCCAGTTCCTGCCTGTGACAAAGCCAGCCTCAGAGTGAGTGCAGTGTTCACTAGAGCCACAGAACACAAGGTGCCATTGACCTACACCCAATTCCTCTCTGGTAACTGATGTGAACCTGCAGAGACAGAGGTCTACCATGTCCTACAGAACTCATCCCAGCACTCTTCCTTCCTCTGATTTTTAAGCTCTTGGAGTCCCTGACTTTTTCCCCTCTGACTGTAAAAGTGTTCTGGGCTCTGCAGACTCTGGTTTGGCTTCCAGGCCACTGACACCGCACTTTGACAGACATCAGTCATCTTCAGTGCCAGCAGGACACCTGTCATAAAGTCCATTCATGCTTTTATTTCAGACTCTTCCAGAAGTGGAGCTGTGTTAGTGAGTAGATCCTGATGTCACTGTTTGCAAAAAGGACTCCAAAACTCTAGAAAGCTGATGTAGAGTCAAAGACACGTAATTATGGGTTTGTAGACATGAAACAGTAAAGGAGATTAGTTCCTGGAGTCCTCACAAAAGTAAACACCTATGTTTGGTTTCCCCTTCTTGTACTTTGATATCTCTCTCCCTGGCATTAAAACTTGGGAGGATCTCTTGGGTGCTGGTACAATTCTTATTTCTGCATCAGAAAATCACAAGCACATACTCTAAAGATAGTGCTAGTGCAAAAAGTCTCACTTTTAGCTGTCTAGGGTACAAGATGTCAGATGAAATCAGAGTGGGTACAAGGACTACACATCTTGGAGAGCTCCAGTTGATAGTAAACACACATGACTGAAATAAATTATGGCATCAGTTGCAACAAGTTTTACAGAAAAGTTTCATTGTGTAAGTAGACTGGGGAAAATAAAGACCATAAACCACATATACACATGCCTTTTTTTGGCACTCTTTCCCTTTGCATCCACTCCAAACCTGCTTGGATACCACTGACACTGAGCTAGACTGACCTTGACTGACAGAGTTCTTAGATCTGTGTTAATTAGTTGACAGGTGACATCTTTGTAATTCTTAGATTATGACAACACTGAAAGATACTGGTGCTCTGCATAGCACAATGGAATCTCACACACTGTAACCCCATCACAACAGTTATAATAAATAAATACTTTGCATCAGAAAATACTCATATAATAGAATCATAAAATGGCTTGGATTGGAAGGGACTTTAAAGAACCTTGGAACCTTAGTTCCAACCTTCCTGCCATGAGCAAGGACACCTTCCTCTAGGACCAGGTTGCTCAGAGCTCCATCCAACCATTTCCAGGGATGGGGTAGCCACAGCTTCTCTGGGCAATCTGTGCCAGTGTCTCACCACCCTCACAGTAAAAAATTTCTTTCTAATAACTAATATAGAACTACTCTCTTTCAGTTTGAAGACATCCCCCCTTGTGTCGCTACAGCCCCTTGTAAAAATTCTCTCTTTTCTTGTAGGCTCCCTTCAGGTATTGGAAGGCTGCAATTAGGTCACTCCAAAGCCTTCTCTCTTCCAGACTGAATAATTCCAACTCTCTTGGGCTTTCCTGAAAAAGCGCTCCATCCCTCTAATCATCTTGGTGGCCTCTTCTGGACTCACTCCAACAGGTCCATGTCTTTTCTGTGCTGGGGACCCACAGTGTTCCATCTGGGTTCTCATGAGAGCAGAGAAGAGGGATAAAATTGCCTCTGTTGACCTCCTGCCCACGCTGCTTTTGATGCAGCCCGGGACACGTTTGCCTTTCTGGGCTACAAGTGCACATTGCTGTTGCTTGCCCACCCTCTCATCTGCCAGCACCCCCAAGTCCTTCTTGGCAGGGCTGCTCTCGTATTGGTACTGGGGGTTGCCCCAATCCAGGGGGCACATTGCACTTTGTCTTGTTAAATCTCATGAGATTCCCATGTGTCCACTTATTGAGCTTGTCCAGGTCCCTCTGGATGGATCCCATCCTTCAGGTGTGTCAACTGCATCACTCAGCTTGGTGTCTTCTGCAAAATTGCTGAGGATGAACTCAATCCCTACTGGAATGTGACTTTAAAAAATCTTGGTAATTTATACTAGTGATTAGACTAATGTAGTGCTACTATTCTACACTAGAAAAATATAAAAAGGGTAGCACAGGGATTACAGAAATGTCTGAGAACTTGGGAAATTCAGGACACAGTCTCATATGACCCTTTTGATTTCAGGCAAGTCATTTACCGTCTTTGTAAGCCAGTCTTCAGTATGGAAACTGATAATACTGATCCTTCTCTGCTCCAGAGGAATATTATACAAAAAATGCACTCAAAAATTCTGAGGTCTCAGGATGGTATGGCAAACATTATATTATATAATATGGAATATTATACAATTAAACACACTCAAAAATTCTGAGGTCTCAGGATGGTATGGCAAACACCATACAGTCAGATTTCACTTATCTGTGGTTAGACTGTTCAGGCCATGGATGAAAAACCAGCTTGGATCTAACACGGCATATTAGCTCAGGCACAGTGCCACATGAATGCAGCTATGCTCTTTCTAAGGCCAGCTCTGCTGTGGAAAGAGTACATCTGCTTTTGTGAGAACCTAGCTGGCTCCATCCCGAGGCAGCTCAGGTATTTCAGCACCAGAATTATTGGCGCAGGGTTTGGGGGGAGGGGGCAAGAAGGAGGAGCAGAAACACCCAGTACAGACCTAGCCTGGATCCTGGATCTAGCTGGGTTTATTAGACCTGGCTTTGCACCAGCTGTACCAGATCCACGCTGCCTCCCAGCTTTTGCACCTGCTTCACAGAGCCCCAGGTCCTACGGGGCTCATTAGGTCAGGCACAAGGGGATGAGAACCATAAGCAAAGAGTCACAGTCTGTCCATACCTGGCTGGGGAACAGGCTGTGAGTGAGGAGCAGAGAAATAAATGGCACAGTGTAGTGGATGTTATGAGGAATTCCTGTACCAAAACTAAATTCACTTGGAAACTCTTGGTTTCCCTCATTTCAGCCTTCCTTACCTGTACTATCGGGATTCTCATTTTACTAACTTTTCAATACCTTTGCCAAGTAGAGATTTGGCTAGAAACAAGTACAAGTCACTTACTGAAGTCACACTTTAGGACTTCCAGAGCCATCTTGGCAAGACAATGAAAGTGGTGTTTCAAGGAAGAGACTTCGAAATGCGTGAGATCAGACTTTACGAAGTCAGAAACAAGGGGTGTGGGCAGAATAAATCAATCAAGGTCTTAAATCCAGGTTTGAAACACATAGTTAGCAAGAAGTAAAGAAAAGGGAAAGGAGAAATGAAAAAAAAGAGAGAAAGAGCAGTGCGAGAAGTGAGGAGGACTAGGTTTCCCCAGGCTGTAAGCAGGGCAGAGAAAGAGAAAGGACGAGGAGGCTTTGCGGGCAGAGGGAGAAGCCCGCCGAGGAAGAGCCTCCAGGCGAAAGCATCAGCGGCTCTCGGGCCGGCTGGCGTTAGGGCCCGGCGGAGGCGGGGGCGCGGGCCGGGGCGGGCGGCGCCAGGGCCGTGCGGCGGGAGGGCCGGGGCACGGCACCACCCACGTACCGGGCCCCGCGCCGCCACCGCGCATCCCCGCGGAGCCCGCACGGCCCCGCCGCCCGCGCCCCCGCCTCGCCGCATAAAAGGAGCGGGCGGAGGCGGGCGGCCGGGGGCCCGGCGCGGACACCGCCTGCATGTGCCCGGGAGCCCCCGCCGCCCGCCCCGCCGAGCCCGCGTCCCGGCGGCCGCCGCCGGCCCGCGTGGGGCTGCCCCGCGGCGCGGAGCCGCGCTCGGGACCCGGCGGCGGGACGGGGCGGCCGCGGGGCCGCGCCGCGGGAGGTAGGGGGGGACGGCTTCGCCCCGCCGTGCCGCGACCTGAGCGCGTGTGGGCGGGGAGCGCCCCGCGCCGGGATAAATAGCGCTGTGCCCCGGCTGACAGCCCGTCCCGGGCAGCGCGGGGCCGGCGGCAGCGCTCGCCCGCCGCCGTGGGACGGGCTCGGGGCTTTCGGGGACTCCGCTCCGCGGTCCCGCTCCTGCCCCGGCACGGGCTGTGATTTTTCTCTGTCTGTTTGTTTTTGGGGCGAGCCAGAGCAGTGGAGGACCAGGAGAGCCCGGGTCCAAGCTTTTCACCTCTCTCTCCCCGCAGCACAGGGGAGATGCTGGAAGCGGCGGTGAGTTCGCAGCGCCCGAGAAGGGCGGCGAGAAGCGTGTAAACTCCTGCGGTCCCCAGCGGCAGCCGCTGCCCCGCGACCCTCCGCCGGCCCCTCCTCGCCCCGCACGCCGCCGGCCTCGCCGCCCCTCGTTGCCGCCGGAGGAGTCTGCCCACCCCAGCGGCCCAGGATGCAGTTTCGCCTCTTCTCCTTTGCCTTGGTCATCCTGAACTGCATGGATTACGGCCACTGCCAGCCCGGCCGCTGGAGACGCAGCAAAAGAGGTGAGTGGCGCCGGCGGCTCACCCGGGACGCCGGCCGGGGCAGCAGCGGGGAAGGGCCGCTCTCGGCAGGTGAGCCGCGCTCCGGCTCCGCGGGCACCGGGCGGGCACGTGGGGCGGCAGCGGGGCCCAGCCGGGGGCGTGGGGCCGTGCCGGCCCGGCGAGCGCTCCGCGGGGCTGCTCGCCGCCGTCCCGTGCGGAGGTCGAGCCGGGAGCGGGAGGAGCGGCGTGGACGTGAGCTCCGATGGGAAGGGACCGGCCGGAGCCCGGGGCAGCCGGGGGCGAGAATTCCGAGCGGTAGGCGCACTGCCCTCGGCCCCCGCGGCGTGTCCTCCCCCGGGGCCGGTGGAGCCGGGGGCAGGGGACATCGCTGATGCCGCCGTCGCTCCTGGTCCAGCGGCTCGCGGCTGCCGGGGATCGCTGTTAGCCCGCGCAGTTAGAGTCGCGTGTCCACGGGACGGACTTGGAAGCTGCTTTGCGTGGACGTTTCCGAGGCAGAAAGGCGGCTTCTCCCCTCCATCCTCCGGTGCCGCCGTGCCGCTCCCGCGGGGCTTGGCCGCCGGGAGAGCCGCGGCGGCGAGAGCACCGCGCCGTGCCCAGCGCCCGGGGCAGGTCTGTGCCGCCAGCTTTGCTGAAAACGTGCAGAGCCCTTTGAGGAAAAGACATAAACGGTGCGTTGGGGCTTCATCGGTTTCCCCAAACGCTGATGCCGGGATGCCGGAGCTTTGAGCCGGAGCGGTGCAATATGCCAGTACAGCTCCCGTGTGGACGGAGAGGTTACTGCAGCGCCTTCCGGCTGGCAGCCTGGCCAAGGCTTCGTCTGTTTCTTTTTTACTTTTTTTTTTTTTTTTTCTTTTAGTGATGGGGAGGTTCACCTTATTATAAAATGTTTCATTATCCGCATATTCTGAATTATTATTTTCTATCCCTTTTGCTGTTATTTTCTCGGCCGTGCATCCTCTTCACATTTCTAAAGTTCGCTGAAAATCAGGTGGCTCCAGCTGCTGAGAAATTTCTGAAAGAATTGCACTCTTAGTGGTATTATTTGGAAGGGGAGGGACTTAACATCTCCAGTGTTAAGCTGCTACAAATAGTAATAAAACTGTGCGAAGAAAATAGTTTGCACTTTTGTGCATATATCTCTTTCAGAGTAGGTGCAAATATGCAAATAAAATTGTAAGGCAGTTTGGTTTTGATGGTTTCCAGAGTTTAATTTATGTGTGTGTGGCTAAAACGATAGCAGTCCTTTAAAGTGACCAGACTATCTGTCCTAACAAAGGGTATACTGTGTCTTTAATTAAATGTGGAACTACTTAGAGTGCTGGCTAGACAGCGGAGGGTGATAGTGGTATTTCTGCTTTACAACAGAGCTTAAGGGCTGCATTGTGGGAGTACTGAAATGAATAGACATCTAACTCAAGTTGTGTGAATTGTCCTCTTACAAAAACTTAAGCTGGTTTTAATTGATCTCATGTTCACTGATTGATCCTAGACCAATTGTTGTGCTTGTTGAACAGTTGGCTTTTCCAAAGGAGATTGATTTAAATTAGTTTTTAGTTTAATTATTGGATAAATACGATCAGTATTGACAGTTGACTTACTGGCTCTATTTTGTGCTATCACCTATGGGTTTTGTTTTGGGCTTTGAAGAATGCAGTCTTTTTCAGTTAATAAGTATAAAGAAGTAAGCATAGCTAGTTCTAAGCACTGAAAGCACAATCTAAGAATGTATTCAAATTATAATAGGTATTTGCCATGACACATCCAGTCTGAAGTAATGCTTTCGTACAGGACTCAGAATTCCAATAATTTCACAATTTTTCCATATCCCATCTGCAAATAATCAGGCAGTCACTGTGGGGTACTGGCAGTTAAAAGTTCTCTGGCATTCTGTTTTGTCTGTTACATGATCTCAGATGCTCCATAATATCGTTTTCTTAATGAAATACAATTTTTGGCATAGATTAAGTCTCATGTGTGGTAGGAATCAATTACATTCAGTCTGGAATTATGGGCAAATATCATGTGTAGCTGATTTTTTTAAAGCAGCTAAATGTACAATAAACTTTAAGTGTATATGCCTGTATTGGCATTTGCTTGGATTTGTTGCTGCTGCAGAATACTCCAGTAAAGAAGACTTAAGTAAAACTGGGAAGATGTTCCCAGGCTTCCTCATTCACCATCTGCTTGCAATCCTTTCCCAAATCAAGGCTTGCAACATTGTAGTAGAAGCAGAATAATAAAATAAGGTTTAGAAAGTGGTTCCTACCTTGCGTTTTGATTTGCGTTTTGTTGGTTAATGTCACTTCACTAAATTTTTTCTGATAAATACATAATAATCAACAGGCTCTACTTATTCCACTGCTGCTCTTAGTTACTTTTTCAGCTCATTAGAATATTGCTTTGCATAGTTGGTCAGAACAGAACCTTACTTTCCTTAAAACACCTCACCAAATTCTCCCTCTGGAAGTCACTGCCCTGAGCAGAATTAAGGCCTTTTTGCCTTTCCTGCAGAAGATATTTGAAAAGCCATTTAAGGGTTACCTAGCTGAAAGCTTGGTGGTGTAATATCACAGCTGGTTTAGTCTAATCTTTCCTTTTCTTCTTGAATTGTATAACTTGACTTTTTGTTTCTTTTGTAAGCCTTCTTCAATGAAAATTTATATTTATTTTTCAGATTTCTCTTTAGCAATCATTATAGGATGGGCAGCTTCATGTCAGCATTTCACTGAATATCACAGGGTACATGAAAAACCATTGTTTTTTCCCTTTGAGATGTAATGAAAGCAACTTTTCCAAAGAGTACCAAAGTTAAAATGGGGGTACATAGAAATGGGGACTCTCAGGGAGGCATGATGGTATTCTGCAAAAGTTTTGACAGAAGAGAATATAGGGATCATTATAAACAGCTATCAAATACCAGATCCTAACAAAATTTCCCAAGGGGAAAAAAGTCAATATGATAGCAGTGAGTGCCTGCATTGATGGGGAAACTCAGGAGTCTACAGAGAGGCTCTCCACAGTTTGTAAGACCAATGTTGGAGCAATAAAAAATGTGAATGGGACACATTCACATAGTTAAACCAGAAGTTGTTTATATCCAAGTACTCAAAACCTGTGTCTTTCCATTTAGTTCCTATTCATGGAGTGTCATGAGAGCTAAGGTGAGTACTTATCTCCTAGATGCTTACACTCTGTGTTAGAGGTACATAAAAGTGGAATACCTGTGGCAATGAGTGACTAATTAGTGACAGTGGTGATGGTGAAATATCCACAGGTGGAAACAGGAGGAATACCTGGGGCAGGAAATTTCCCAAGTGTTTCTCAGACCTCAATATAGCTTTGTGCACAGCATTTATTGAAGAATATGAATGTATGGAGGGGCACATTCACTGGGTTCAAAATTATGTCAATTAAATTTTTATCATCTTAATATAAGATGGGAATCCTGACTATAAACCTGTTATTATTATAGGAAATTGTTACATGGATTTTCAACTAGAAGAAAAAGCTGCTTGGATATTGGGGATTGTGATTTAGCTTTCCTATCAAGGTATTTACCTGGGATAATCTTGGAACCTGTCTCAGCTGGATTGTATGGTCAAGCTTTGGGAAAGATGGATGATTTAAACATTAGGGAAAAAGAAACTGTTGGATATACTTGACTGAAATAAATACCACATCTACTTTTACAAGGACTGTACTAGCTCCTAAAGAGTAATTTATCCCAAAGTAGTCATACTACATGACTTTTAATGTCTAGCATTATCCAACTATTCTAGCTGTTATTAGCTATCCTCCTCTCTGAGGTTGAAACGTGTTGTTTGAAGGACAGTTAACTTTTTTATCTGCAGATTAAGACTTAAAATTCTATGTGGAAGCAGTACTTTGAGATACTTTTTTTTTTCTCAGGTGTGATGTTAAGTAATTGTAACAGAACCTGAGAAAGAACTGAGTTGTGCTAACACAAGTGGTAATTTTCCAGGCTTATGGTCTGGAGACATCCTTTGGAACATAGCTTCTGTTCCTCAGATCTGTATTTAGGATAGTTACTAATCATTCTTTATACATACATCGTTACTACAGCAATAGAATATCCTAACTCCGTAACCATTGAAAAGTTATAACTTTTAAACCATTGGCTATTTACACTTATTACTGTCTTAAACTGACAGAAATCAAAATTTCTGTGTGAATGACTGAATACTAAACTAGCTAATGATGCAGTCAGTGTTACTGAGGATAAGCAAGGCTCAAACAGATTGTGAAGATTTGCAGGAGAATGTTCAAAGCACTAAGAGCAGGATTCACTGTCAAAATAAACATCTAAGGTTAGGTGTTTGATTCAGCTTCCCAAAGTTGGTTTTTAGTGCTGCTTATAATATTTAAAAGATCTGCTTCTGGGCTTGGTATGTACGTGACTCTCTTTAGCAAGCAGAGGCTGGGCAGGACGTCTTGGGGCAGGTCCTGTGCATTTGGCACCTTTGGGTGTCCCAAGACCTGTTATTGGGGAAGCTAGAATTGGGGAACCTGTTCTGGCACAGTGTTGGGCTGTGTGTGTTTTTCCTTGCCTGTATCCACACCTTTAGGTCCCATTATGGGTCACTTGGGTTTAGGATGCTGGGCTAGATGGGTGTGCCTGATCAGACCTTGAAGTCTGATCTTTTGTGTTAAAACCTGCTGTAAGATTTACACTATGATGAAGAGCTTAGATTTGTATGCTTGATAAACTTGTCTTAACTGTATATTTTCCCCTTTCAGGAGATGGAGGGGATTTTCTAAGGCTTGGCTGAAAACTCTCGCTAAAGCAGCTCAAAATGCATGACAGATACTGAAAGTGAGTTTTTACTCTAATATAGGGACATTATAGTGATAAAAGCAAGAATGCAGTTTCTCAATTCAATGTGTCATTTACAATATACAGGCCAGCATAAGTACTATGTTAAAGTATATTAGTATGGTGTTGTTTACATAAGCTGCTTTTAAAAATATGGAAAATATGA